TGGGTGGTATCATTACAGATTTCTGTTACATTATTCTGAAATTAGGTGAGTGAAAAGCACTCACCTCATAGTTCTCCTTTAAAATTCTGTCCCTATAGGAAGTCACATTTCACCGGCGGGGTAACATACATTTCAGTGGCTGTAGCTGGAGATAGCAGAGTTCTGACAGCTGTAGCGCCACCATGTGGTGGCCAATGTACTTGTAATGCAGCTGAAGTCTCACACATCAGGGTGTCACTGTCTCATATTACAGCAGATACAATTCCAAAGGAGGAGAAGAATTGGAGGCTTTGGTTCCAAAAAAGAGAAGTTCTTCTTGTTTCAAACAAAATGTCAATTTGCAAACATTGAGATAAAGCAAATCCTGACTTCAACATATATAACATGCCGGAGAAAGGCTTGTGAAAGCTTCAGCTTGCAGGGGTAGGCAACCTCAGGCACTCCAGCTGTTGTGTAACTACAAGTCCCATGAGGCATGGCAAGGCTCTGACAGCCACAGGCATGACTCCCAGAGGCAGATGCATGATGGAAGTTGTAGTTTCATCACAGCTAGAGTGCCGAGGTTGCCTACCCCTGGCTTAGAGTATAGGATTGCCACCTGTCCAGGATTCACCCGGACAGTCCGGGTTTTGAATGCTGTATCCGGGTTTCATGGCAGCAGAAACCACAAGATGTCAGGCAGACGAGGCAACCAAAATTAAGATAGGGGCTACTGGCCCCCCACTGAAAATAGTCTCAACTGTGATTTACATATGAATGGGTGGCACTATTTACACATGAATAAGCTACGACTCATTCTCCCCCAAAAAATGCCCACGCGTCACTAGAGTGTTCGGGTTTCGCTTGAAGAAAAGGTGGCAATGCTATTAGAGTATCCAAAACAAAACACAATTAGTAAATTGCCGGCCTAAAGGTTGATAGTCCGGGGTGTGCCATGCTGATCCTGGCTTCCTAGGGGCGGGTATGTAAACCTTCTGCCCAGTGTAAAGCTGGGCAAATGCTGTTCACAGTGTTACCGTCACTAGATGGCGCCAAAGAGCAGAAGAAATGTCCATGCTCCTCGGCGCCACCTAGTGGAAGGTTTATACATCAGCGCCTAAGCATGCAAACATTTTAGGCGACAGGTGCACTTTAATTTTCCCCGGGCATTCACGCTAAAGGTTTGTGGCCAAAGTGGTAAAGGGGCGGGGCCTTTCTCTGGTCTTTATTGCTGTCAGGACAGAAATGATGGGACATCTCTCCAACAAAGATACAGCAACCAACGCCACCATTTCATCTCAATCCCTAACAGGACAGGAAGTGATGGGTAATCTCTCCATCAAAGAGATACAGCACCCACCCTCCCCTTTCCATATTTTCTTTTCAATCACTTGCCCCCATTTCCTCTCAATCCCTAACAGGACAGGAAGTGAAGGTGAATCTACCCAGCAAAGACACAGCACATTTCCTCTCAATCCCTAACAGGACAGGTAGTGACGGGAAATCTCTCCAACAAAGAGATACAGCCCCCCTCCCAATTTGCTCTTGATTCCTAAAAGGAGAGGAAGTGATGGGAAATCTCTTCAGCAAAGATACAGAGCTGTCATTGTTTTGTACAGCGTCTCCCCCGGCAACTGTTCGTGAGTCTCATGCAACTCCATTCAGAAGTGTGAAAGGGGCCTTACTGCTTCCTGTGCCTTCCTGTCCTGGTGACAACCGCCCCCCCCCCCCACCTTGTTGCTTGGGGAGGTGTCAACGGGACAGGAAGTGAGGGGATACTCTACAGACATTTGCTGGCGATATGACTTATTACTGCGAACGTTCACATCTGAAAATATGCAAATGAATGATGAATGGTGGGAGAGTACTTTGAGTGAATGCGTGGGCAGAGAACACGGCAGCCGGGTGAACGCTTGTAAATGCCGGAACAGGTGTATTTGCATGCGCACAGGGGTAACTTTCCGAATGCAAAACTTGCTCATTCAGAAACTTACCCCCTGACCATGCAAACGCCGATACCCGGGTGTACGCCCTCACGTATGGCGTGCACCCGGGTACAGCGTTTCCTGTCTGTCTGTCATATGAACAGGAAAACGCAGCCGCTGCGGCTCCCGGGCACCACATATTTCGCACTACACGCAGACACGTCTGTCATTGCTCCAGAGTACGTCCCCTCCACCCCCCGTGTGTACGAGCCCGCAGGCAGTTCAGTGGACGAGCGCCCATTTGCTGGGATTATGAGAAGCAAAGTACTGACAGCGTACATCACAGGAGGAACGAAATGATAACTCCTTCCTGTGAATGAAGCCGTCCTTCCAAAAACAGAGCGCCCGCCCGCCGCCGACCGCGCACCATGAGTCACTCGTCTATATTTACCCGCCATGTCCATATGAGGTGTCCCTGCCTGCGGGGCCCCACGCCGGGGGTGTGACAGGTGTTCATGACCCGGGGTAGGATTACTGCCGGGGACTATTCCAGATCATTCCGAGCGACTACCCGAGGGGGGCCGAGACACGGCTCATCTACAGTCCCGGCGTCTCCTCTCCTGTTCTATCATCAGCATTGTAATAGGAATACATACTGAGGGGAATGTATCAAAACCGGAGCAGACAAAATCTGGAGCAGTTGCCCATGGCAACCAATCAGCTTCTCTCTTTCATTTTCAAATCTTAACGGAACAAAGTAAAAAGAGAAGCGGATTGGTTGCCACGGGCAACTGCTCCTGATTTTGTCTGCTCTGGTTTTGATAAATTCCCCCCACTGGAGTTGTTTCTGATAATACAATCAAAGCTTACATGAAAGAAAAATCTCTTTTATGTGGTGAGCGCTTCCTTCCGTCTGCCCATCAGTTCCAACAACTTCCTGGATACCCAGAGTTCTTTGCATCTCTTTCCCTGCTGCTTAATGTGATACAATCTTCAATTCTCAAGACTACCTATCCCATCATGCATTGCTTCCAGCCAGCAATGATAATGTTACATTGTTCAGACGCTGAGTTGTAGTTCAGAAGGCGGGCTCTGTGAGAGTGGTGACACCAGGAAGTGCACATTCACAGGGCTGATAGAAATGGTGTCACTGCATTGAGGAAGTCCATCCTATGGGCACTTTTAGTTTACAATCTACTAGATGGATCTGGATATTAGGAGCAGGGGCGTCCCGAAGCTGGGTGACACGCGGAGTGGAGACCGGGTGACACCCCGCCGTGACGTCATCGCGCATGCGCGGTCATCTTAGTGACGCCTGCCGGCGGCCATCTTGCTGATGGACGCCAACTGACAGAGGAGTGGACGTTCACCCGGCGGGATGAGGTATGCCGCCGGGTCTCCTCCTCTCTCCTGACACTGTCAGGCCGTCGGTCCATGACCGAGCGCCCGACTTTTCATAGGGGGTGACACCAAAATCACTGTCAGTCATTTTGGTGTCACCCCCTCCAATGGTGGCACCCGGGTATGGGCCGCACCCCCCTTGTGACGCCACTGATTAGGAGACAATAGAACTTACTGAAATACAGAATTATTTTTAGCTAATGACAATAGTTACCCACTAAAAGAGAACGATGGGGGTCACCTTTTTATCCCATAGTTCTCTTTAGGGTCACAGGGGGACATATACTAACCTTCTCCCATGACCCCTAAGCTCAGTATATGGCAGGCTCTTGCCTGCCATATACTGAGAGCGCCGCAGCCAGGACGGATCCTGACAGCACTGTCGAGATCCACCCAGCTGCGTGAGTGACAGCGGCCTCTGCCTGTCTAGAGGCAGAGTCAGCTGTGCCCGCCTCTTCCTCGTCCATTCCTCCAATCAGTGCCGGAGGATCGGAGAGGGCCGGGGACAATCCCTGCAGGGAGCCGTGAATGTGATCGGGAAGTGAGCGGATCAGCGCCATGTCTCTGCTCTCTTCCCAATCGATAGAGCCGACGTGACAGCTGCTTTGTCACAGGTCGGTCGGCTCTAACTATGAGGATGAATGCAAATCAGTCACCTTATCAGTTCTCCTTTATCTGTCTGTAGAGCTTCCTACACTTCTATACGGTTACATCAGGGTAGGCAACCTCGGCACTCCAGCTGCTGGTGAAACTTCAAATCCCAGCATGCATCTGCCTCTGGGAGTCATGCCTGTGGCTGTCAGAGTCTTGCAGTGCCTCATGGGATTTGTAGTTTGCTGTTGCAGTGCTGCTGATAAGAGGAGAGGGCAGAGTGACTGGGATGTGAACTTGTTGGTGAGCTGATTCTCCTTTCACAGGCTGGGGGAGGGACAAGACCTGTAAGTCTTACTGACCCACCCTGCAGAAAAATCAGGTCTTCCAGGCAGAGCTATGCAAATCTGGGACATGGATGCACAGAAAGACAAATCATTTGGAATGTACAACTTCCTGTCCTGCTGGCAACATTTTTTTCCAGACAGGAAGTGAGAAAATGCGACAGAGGTTCCAATCCGTCCTACTTCATCCAAAAATGGAAAAGAAAACATTTCTGGGTGGACATACACTTTAAAAGAAAACTCCGCCTTTGTGGCCACGTTTCATCCATATATGGTCACATTCCCATCCCCCCTTAAACTCCTCCCTTAATTTTTTTTGAAACGGTGGACTATGCCTTTAAGTATAGCATTTGAATAATGAATTCAATTAATACATTAAAATAAACTTAATGTTTTTACCCAAAAGTCACACTTTTAAAAATTGTATTAAAATAGAAAAACGTGTGAATACTGGGTGAAAGTTGTGCGAATTGTGGGTGACAACATTTGTGAAATAGACCCCCACGCGCACTGGTCCAGCTAACACTCACAGACCAATCAGAAAGCAGTCAGATGGAGGCGTGTACTTACTGACTCCTCCCCCGGCTGCTCTACGCCGCTGTCACAGGCTAGAGGCGAGTCAGGTGACTAGAGCGACCTGGGGGAGAAGCTCTGTCACGTGACCTCCATTCTATTCAACACTGTCAGACTCGAACGTTTCCAAACATACCGGTTCTCTGTTACCATAGGAACTAGAGATCACGCCCTAGATAGACAGGTCAGCTGGCTCCAACTGACCAATCAGAGGACTCCCAGTCGGCAAACTACAACTTCCGGCATGCTTCACGGTGCTGACGTGCCACAGGGAGCCACCGAGGAGGAAGTGGAGAGGGAGAAGCAGGTAAGAGCAATAGGTTGATGTTTATTGTCATTTTAACTTATTGGAGATGTTGACAGCTTGAGGGGGATAGAGACAGCCTGCCGGTGTCATTAGAAACACTGTGCCTTCCCTACTCCTACGGAGTACTGACAGTACATGCTGGGGTTTGTAGTTCACCTGGTTATGAATGCTGACAGGCCTTGTTGGAAGGTGTTATGGGCTCTTAGTTGCAGAGCCCATAACACCTTCCTCCTCACCCCTTTTAATCCTCGGGAGGCCCTCACCTAAAGGGGGGTCCCTCTCCCCAGTCCCTGGTAGGTCCTTAAACACAAGGGGTGCCCTCCCTTCCCCCAGTTTCTGGTAAGACCTCACCCACAAGTGAGGGCCCACCTCCCCCTCCTCAGTCCCTCTTAGGTCCTCACACATAGGGGGAGCCTTGCCCCCCCTCTGTTCCAGGTAGGTTCTCACCCACAAGAGAACCCCCCCCCTCCCGTTCCAGGTAAGTCGTCACCCACAAGAGGAGCCCCTCCGCTCCCCCTATCCCCAGTCCCTGTTAGATCCTTCCCCACAAGGGGAGCCCTCAGTTCCAGGTAGGTTCTCACTCACAAGAGAAGCCCCCACCCCACAAGTCCCAGGTAAGTCCTCACCCACAAAGGCAGCCCTCTTCCTCCACAGTTGCTGGTAGGTCCCCGGTGCTTATTGCTGATGGTTTGTATTAGGCCGAGTGGCTGATCACAGGTTTGCTTTTAGCCCGGATATACAATTACATTGGGGTACATTGGGAAGAGGGAGGAGGGTTGTGTTTGATACTTCCCCGGAGTTCAGCTTTAATATAGAGCTCATTGCTTGTCATAATATCTTGTTTCCTTTTTTTTTTTTCTTTATGTAGACTGCAGAAATGTTGAAGGCGGTCATCTTAATTGGGGGACCCCAAAAGGGTGAGTATTTCACAATGGCGCCAAAACAAATACTTCACACCTTTTTACTTGTCTTCAATGTAGGTGGGATTGATGGTGGGCAAGATCCCTACCAGGTATGGCCAGTCTGTAAGTTCTGGATGTTTCGGGGTTTGGGTCTGTCTCTTGGAGTAGGAAGGGGTTGACCTTTTCTGTGGTTGTTATGTTGTGAATACACTTTTTATCACAGGAGGTGCAACAAATTCTTTTACCTCTTGTGTTGATCAGTAAAACGTTTAGGGATGATGTGTTACGGTAGCCCACTGAGCCCATTGAAGATAATGGTCTGCCAACACATCAAAACGTCCCGCAAATTCAACGTGTCACAAGATTTGTTGTGCACTACAACACACTATCGTGCATTGCCTTACAGCATGCTGCAGCACTTAAGGAACTTTAAAGGAGAACTATGAGGTCAGTGTTTTTCCCCATAGTCCTCCTAATCGTCACGGGAGGACTTATACTAACCTCCTCCCGTCACCCAAAGCTCAGTATATCGCGAGCCATAGCCGGGACGGATCCCGACATTACTGTCGAGATCCAAACAGCTGCGTGAGTGACAGCTGGCTCTGCCTATCTAGAGGCAGAGCCAGCTGTACCCTCCCCGTCCGTTCCTCCAGTCAGCGAACAGGGGAGGGGGGAATCCCTGTAGGGAGCCGTGAGTAACAGTCACCGCTCTCTGCAGAGACATGATTGAGAAGTGAGCGAGCGACGGTATGCGTTCGCCCGCTTCCCGATCTATTGAGCCGACCTGTGATAGTTTCATTGTCACACGTCGGCTCGAACTACGAGGCTGAGTGAAAATCACTGACCTCATAGTTCTCCTTTAAGCAAAATGTCCTAATACACATGTGCAGCTAGTGAAGTAAATGCTTTCCTGGTACCTATTCCTGTAAATGGCTCCCCCGGTATACCCAGACACTCCGTGCCGAGGTACAGACACCCTTGTTTTGTTTTAGCGAATAAAAGGTTTAACCAATATGTCGTCTCTTCTTTTTGTAGGTACCAGGTTTCGCCCTTTGTCTTTCGAGGTTCCCAAACCTCTGTTTCCTGTAGCCGGAGTCCCCATGTTACAGCATCACATTGAGGCCTGCAGCAAGGTGATGTTCCTGTGCCAGTAACAGACAGTTATACTCTCCCCGAAAAAGTATCATCTCACTCCAGCTCCAGAGTTTTATCTAGTGCAATTCACCATCCAAATAGTCTACCTCCAGCGCCCCAAAATCTCTTGACACGAAACCAGGTACAAGTTATGGTAGTAATCTTCTCACACGGAGGCTGCACTTTCACAGTCAGGGAGACCAGCCAAGTATGTGCAACAAAAAAACAGAGGACGCCTTCTCCTTTTGTATTACCATTCATTAAATGTGATCAAAGGAATACAAACATAATCACAAAGGAGACTAAGAGCATCATCGAGGACAACAAGTCGCAGCTTCAAGTCACTCACTGCACAAGGCTGCTGGAGAGAGAGGCTCTGATGAAGGGGGTGTAGCCCTGAAATGCGTTAAGCCAGTGGAGGTTGTGATGATGGAGGAGTAAGCGCGGTAATGCCGGATTCACCTCTCTCTCTCTCCAGCAGCCTCGTGCAGTGAGTGACTTGAAGCTGTGACTTCTTGATGATGATGATGATGATGCTCTTACTCTCCTTTTGTGAGGTGTTTTTATTCCTTCGATCACATTTAATAAACGGTAATACAGGAGAAGGCGCTCTCTGGTGTTTTGTCTAGTGCAAGTTTAATGGTGATTGGTCACTTCAGAGTCAACAGACATTTTTCATGTGTCTCTGTAGTGAACCTGTGGAAAACGTCACCAGTAAAGTAACAGCATATTTTCCGTTTACTATGTGTCAGTCCAAAGGAACCTTTTTTCCAACTTTTGCTTGGGTATAGACACCCCCTCCCCTGCGTCCCAGGCGTGGGACATTGCATTGTGGGAGGCCATGTTTGTTCTTTAGTAGGAAGAAGTGGTGGCACTTTGATGGAGCGAAACATAGGTAAAGACTAAGGATGGGCTCGGGCGTGTTCGCAGCTCCATGTGCTGAGCCCACCAGGAAGCTGACAGCGCGTAGCGCCAATCACAGGCACTGAGACATTTCCCGATCTCTGCAGCTGCGGACCAGGAAAATGTGTGAGTACCTGTCATTGGCGCTGTCAGCTTTCTGGCGGGCTCGGCACGTGGAGCTGCGAACACGCCAGAGCTCACACGCCTTCCATATACTGCACGATTCTCGTATGATCGCGGGATTTCATGCGATTCTCGTACGAGAATCGTGCAGTGTATGGGCACCTTTAGTAAAGACCTGAGCTGGTAGGTCATGTGATCAGGTCTCTGCTACAGCCATAGTGCAGCATTTACTCAGACGTGTTCTCCCTCCTCCCTACAGGTGCCCAATCTGAAGGAGATCCTACTGATAGGCTTTTACCAGCCAAATGAAGCCCTCAGCCGTTTCTTGGTCACAGCGCAGCAGGAGTTTAAAGTTGCCATCCGGTGAGCTTCCATTTCAGCTTTTTGTAAATTAATTTTCTTGTTTGCAGATCTATAACATGCAGGAATATCTGAGGTTGGGGGAGGGAGGCGGGGGATGCGACTGGCAAGATAATGAAGCTTGGCCCAGTGGGAGGCACCTCCTCCCACACAGTTTAGCGTGGATGGCGGAATCTGTTGCACTTTTTCCATCTGGCCATAGAAAATCTGCAGATAATCTATAGGTGTGTGGCCCGCTTTAGACAGAAGCCAATTACCTACCACCTGGTCTTTGGCGTGTTGGAAGAAACCCATGCAAGCACAGGGAGGTCATGTAGACTCCATGCAGATATTGTTCGGACCGGAATTCTAACTGGGGACTCCCAGTGCTGTTGAATAAAATAAAATCCTGCTGGAAATGACACCATTACTTACCACTAAAGGTTGCCATACACTGTACAACCATCGGAAGACCTTAGTCTTGCGATTGTTGTAAAGATTAAAAAAATCGTACAATCTGCCCTTCTTGGACAGGCAGATCGTACTTTCGATCATCACATCGAGGGGCGGGCTTACGATGACTCAATGAGGGGCGGGCTTACGATGACTGCAAACGGGCTGTGTGCGCGTGCGCACACCGGCCCGTTCGGCAGTTGTCGAACCAGCAGGCCACTAACTCGCCGAGAATCGTACGATTCCCGGCGGGTTTTCTAGCATGCTGGTTCGACGGAAGACGTGCGACCGTACAGTAGAAACGGTCGCACGCCTTCCATACACTGTACAATCGCGGGATTTCCCGCGATTCTCGTACGAGAATCGTGCAGTGTATGGGCACCTTAACAAGGAGCTCAAGGAATTATAAGACCCCTTAACTGCTAGATTTCCCATTTACAATTAATATTTTCGGGGGAATTAAATTTTTAATTGAGTCCGGGTTTCCTTTTTTAAACTCTGAGATTACTTTTGATTTGCTTTGCTGACTCGGATCTTTTGTTCCAGGTACCTGCAGGAATATTCAGCTCTGGGCACTGGTGGCGGCATATATCACTTCCGGGACCAGATCCTCTCCGGGGGGCCACAGGCGTTCTTTGTCATGAATGCGGATGTGTGCTCAGAGTTCCCTCTCCTTCAGATGCTGGAGTTCCGGAAGCAGCATGAAGACACACACAGTTACATCATGCTGGGGACAACGGTAAAAGGAGGCTGCTGGGACAAAGTACATCTTAAAGGAATATAATTATCTATAAAATATATTTAATGATGTATTAGTGATTACAGAGCTGCATTCATTTGTCTCTTTTTTTTTTTTTTTTTTTTTTATATCTGCCCGGGGGTTCAGCTTTAATTAATGAAGTAGCTGGCTGGGAATAGCAAGTCTTGCGTTTTACTCCAACCTTTTCTCTTCTGACAGGCCAACAGGACACAGTCCCTGAATTATGGCTGCATTGTGGCAAACACAGAGACTCAAGAGGTAATGTGACTTCATCTCTGGGATCTTCTACTGATTCTATTATACCTGAATTGGGGGTCTGTATAATCATCCTGTGTTAAAGTGGAACTAAAATACCTATTATTATGCTCATCTATTCAGAGTTTATTCTGACACAGAGGCATGCCAAGCATTCACATGAGTTGCCCATGAACAGCTTAGTATATGATTTAGAGAATAGTGCTAGCAGGCAGGTAACAATGTTTTATTGCAGAAGAGACCTAGTTTGCCTGCCTGCTTGATCTGGATGCTGGAGTCCGGATGGACTTAAAGAAGAACTATGGGGTTAGGGCTTTTCCCCATAGTTCTCCTAAGAGTCACGGGAGAACACAAACTAGCATCTTCCCGTTACCCAAAGCTCAGTAGCTTGCGGTATACTGAGACGCTGCAGCCGGAACGGATCCCGACAATGCTGTCTGGATCCACCCAGCTGCGTGAGTGACAGCTGGCTGTGCCCGCCCCCTCCCCCGTCCGTTCCACCAGTCAGCGCTGGGGGATCGGACAGGGGGGGGGGGGGGAGAATCCCTGCA